GGTTTTGACAGCGCCAGGACGCGTGCTCCATCCGGCAGTCCCTTTCGGAACTTTGGCATACATACGGCGATTCTTCCATGCACCTGCTTTTTGCTTCTTCCAAGGTTCTATGTCTGATCTCCGAAGAGGATCATGGGGGGCTGGTTGTTGAATACGGGTGTTGTGCTTTTTCGGTGACCTCCAGCTGATGCGGCCTCACGGCCATGAATCTCGTACGGAACTTGCCTCTGTACAGACATGCTCACCCATGTGCTGATACTGCTATGATCGCTTTGCTGTCAGATTCTCTCGGCGGAAGCGCCAGGACGGGAAGATCCCCATTGTCATATTGAGCCATATTATTGTACATGGTAACGTTGCCCTGGAGTCCTTCATTCAGGCGCACGTGCACGAACCCCCAGCCTTTCAATACCTCTGCTCCGATAAGACCTTCTTTGTACTTTTCCGACGTCCAATATCCCACATTTACTCCCTTCGGAACAGTGTCTCCGAGAACCGGGTCAAGATTCCATTTGGGACACTGCACTGACGAAAAGAGATCGGACGCGTCGTGCGATAGCCGGGTTATCCTGACCCAAAACCTGGCTTGTGGATGATGTGTTGCGCGGGATGCATGTGTGGGCCGCAGGAGGCGTGCGTGCATGTGTGGAGCGGAGCTGTGCGGAACCAAGGTATTGACATATCCTAAAAGTAACGTACGATGTCGGCCTGTATACCGGACAGAGGTGCACCGCCACAGATGAGAGAGCCTTTTTGCAGACATGGGCCGAAGGATTGAATAAACACGAGAGACCGACAAGGCTTTGGATAATGTATGGCTAAGGAGGCCATGTGTCTCGTAACGAGGCAGCACCTTTCCAATATGCGTAGAGGCCAGTTCATGCTCAGTATATGCATCTTCCTCAGGACTGCACGTTGATGACCGTAGTAGTAATTTGCAACGACCTCAGTCATCCAGCTCTCGTCCAAAGTCAATCAATCTCAACCTCCTCGCATCTTTCGGGTGGAACTGCGCAATCTTCGCCCTGATCAAGAACCGCGAAGCCGCAGAATCTCTCTCCAGCTGAAAATATGCCTTTCCACCTCCTGGTCCCATCAGAGTAGCAAACAGATTCTCAATCAACTGTCGCATCTCTGCATCCGCAGCTTCGGCCTCAGTAGGTGGCTCTTCTTCTTCTTCCTCCTCTTCAGCATCAAGAGGAGCCTTCTTGCCCCAAATCTCATCGATCCTGCGCTGCCGCGTCTTGTCTGAGACTGGTTTCTTCGATGACTTTGCACGCCCCTTCTTCGTGAAACCGGCAGCAAGAGTATCATCCTCGATATTAAGCATGTCGCCTACGACAGGTCCACCGAGCTCTTCTGCTGCAAGCATGCTGGAAAGGTAGTCGTTGATGAAGTTGTTCATAGCTTCTCCTAGACGCTGCATATCCGCGTCGTAGTTCTCCTTCTTTGCGCGCTTTGCTCCGATGAGTTCTCGTGCGAGTTGAGCAGGAGTTTTCTGCGAGCGGTCTTCGTGCTGAGAGCGCAGCCGCCGAATGCGATTCTGCATTGTCTGAGTGAGAAGGTTCGCATCGTGTAAGTTGGCTTCTTCACGACGAAGCGTAGCCTCTTTTGTGCTGAGTTGGCTCTGAGTGCTTGCGATAGCTTCCTTGATTCCTTGGACATTATGTTGAATTGTACGTGCTGCTAATAATGCAGGTAGAACTGATCCTTGGGTGGGGAGGTACGTTGCTGTTGACTTCAACTGTTTATACGCGTCTGTGACGGCTGCGAGCTGCTGAAGCTTGAGACGCGGATCTTCCGATGCATAGGCGGCTGTCTCTATATCAACATGTGACTGGGATCGCAACTTTTATTTGGTCAGTATCATCCTTTCTGGACGCGTCTTTATCGCGTTACCTTCTCAAGTGCTGCTTGTTGTTCTTTCACGCGTGCCTGCAGCTCTTTCACTGTCTGCTCCAGACGCGCCTCGGTGCTGGACGCGTCAAAGTCGACGACATCTTCCTGCAGCCCCCGAGCTTCTTCGACATACTCGCGTATCTTTCTGAGACTCTCACTCTGTGGTTGCGCCATTTCTCCGACCGGTCGGCTGTGTGTTCAGGATTGGTGCACCGATGTCGCTAACGGGCCAGTGGTGCCTGGCGAGCGAGGAGAACTTCACCCCTTTCAACTGTGTACTCACCAAGGCTCCCGCTGCACCGCGAGGAACTCAACAGTCTTTCAGTCGTCGTGCTACCTGTATTTACAGACAAAGTCGTAGTACCACACGTGACGCGCCAAGACTTAGCGCCGATCTCCCCGCGATAGCTCCATTTTGCATCGTTTGCGCCTCCTCACTCGCGACAAACCACCTGCTGTTATCAACCATCGCCCACAGTTCCTTCTCCATCGCGGCCCGCCCCTTCTTCTAACATTGCTTTCTCGTTTGAGAAGGAAAGCGCGCAACCTCGAGCACTCCGCACCTGAGACGCCGGACCGTTGCCGAGAAGGTTTGACGAGCGAGCTTTCTTTACTTGGGCCAGTTTCTTCCTCTGTCGACCTCACCTCGTCCCAAGAAACACACACCCTTTCCGACTCTCCCGCTCCATCACAAGCACCATCATACCCGATTCCTCGCTTCCCGAGGCCTCTCTCCTCCGACCACTGCACCCTCTGCACGCTCCAAACTCCTTCAAGCTTCCGGCGACCTTACCTCCTCGCACCTTCACCGCACTGTCGCGACTCCCTCCAGCCCGCCCTCACAGCACGCTTTCTTTCACGGCCCCCGCTGTACATAAAGTCGCAAATAATCGAGATCAATTGAACAAATCTCACCTTCCCGTTTGAACGCTCCTCGACTGTGAAGAGCGTACATACCCGTTTCCAAATTCAAGATCCACAACTCATAACAGAAAACATGTCCGCGTCACCCACCATCGCGGCTTCCTCCGCCAAGCGACCCCTCGAGGAACCCTCATCGCCTGCCGGACCCAATGACCAACCCGATGCCAAGCGTCCTGCTCTCGACAAGATGGTCAAGGAGGATGCGCCCAACCCAGACAACATCGATATTGCGCAACCAGTCCAGGCTGACGACATCGCCACGGAAGGCATCACACAAGAGGACGTAAAGGTGGTACCCGAAGTGGCTGAAGCTGCTGTCGAGAACGGTGCCCAGCCGATCCATACCGACACTGTTGTCCCAGACGCACCCTCTATCCTTGAGACTCAGCCTATCCAATCCACATCAGGTGCTAATGGTCGACCTGTAAATCACAACCAGCAGGTGGACGAGACCAACTGGCTGCATGTGCGCGCTTGCATTGGCACCAGCGAGGCCGCTACCATCATTGGCAAGGGCGGAGAAAATGTGACTCAGATTCGTCGCTTGTCCGGCGCCAAGTGCACCGTTAGCGACTACTCTCGGGGCGCTGTTGAACGCATCCTTACTGTAAGCGGCCAAGTTGATGCTGTGTCCAAGGCATTCGGCCTCATTGTGCGCACCCTTAACCAGGAGGACCTCGAGACACCTTCTACATCCACCTCCAAGGCCTACCCTATGCGTCTTCTGATTCCTCACATCCTTATCGGTTCCATCATCGGAAAGGCTGGCGTTCGCATCCGCGAGATCCAAGAGGCTTCTAACGCTAAGTTGAACGCATCTGACACTCTCCTCCCCAACTCTGGCGAACGTTCGTTGATCGTACTGGGTGTTGCTGACGCTGTGCACATTGCTGTGTACTATGTTGCTCAGACTTTGGTCGAGCAGCTGACCGAGCGATTCGGTGGACCGGCTGCATCCCAATATGCAACCCGTAGTGGTATGGCTGCCAACGTCGTCCCAGGCGGCATGTCTGTTCAACCATACGTTCCCCAGCCCGCTGGAGGTCAGTACTCTCACCCACAGAATTTCCGTCGCCAAGAACCACCCCAGCGAACTCCCGCTCACGGAGGGTATGGTGCTCCGCATATGCAGCATGGACAGCCTCCACAGCAGTCGCCGTATGGTCACCCCAACATGCCTTACGGCGCTGGCTCGCCTAGCCGTGGTCCTTATGGTGGTCCTGCCGCGCCCACTCCTTACGGCGGTCACCCTGCTGCAGCGCCTGTTGCGCACGGCGGCGCCGCTCCACATGCAGCTGTTGGTGGCATGCCTGGCCAACCTCTTACCCAGCAGATTTTCATTCCCAACGACATGGTCGGTGCCATCATCGGCAAGGGCGGAGCGAAGATCAATGAAATCCGCCAGCTCAGTGGCAGTGTCATCAAGATCAACGAGCCCACTGACAACAGCAACGAGCGTCTCGTCACCATCACGGGTACACAAGAATGCAACCAAATGGCACTGTACATGCTGTACTCGCGACTCGGTTAGTAGTGTATTCTATCACATAACACTCACAATGCTGACTATCTATGCAGAATCGGAGAAGCACCGTATCTAGTCATAGGGTGCTATCAATCCGAAATCGCTACGACAAGGTTTACTGGCGGTCTGAGTCAAAAGAACACAACACTGTAAGTCGGTCTACTGTCTTTGTGGGATGCATGTTATATTGGAGCACGGCGTAGCGGTATATTTAGTTATCTCATGGTTTATTGGGTGTGTACTTCACGTGCTTTCTCCCCGACTGCTCTCGGCGAGAAAGAGCATCGCTTTGAGGGGACATGGCGATTACAGGGTTGAGGTGGCATGTGTCACTCAAAGGGTCTTTCGCTGCCGATCTATATGATAGTAACATACCTGGTAATCTATCAAAAGCTTTCTGACTTCATAACTTCATAACTTCGCATGTGTGTTGGGTTAGTTTTCTTCTTCGGCGATGAACATGAAATGCTGAATGGTGAATGAGCTGCGGAATCAGGGGATGGAGCATTCTCGTCTTGTCGAACGGACTATAAGAGATAGCCAACCTCTTCCCGCTGTTGTTTTCCCAAGAATCTGTACTCGTGCCTTACGAGTGAATAGCATCAATAATTCTCCTACTACAGTGTCTATTCCTCAATCGACTCGTTCAATTTCAAGTGGTTTCGAACCAACTCCTACCGTCATCGGTCATTATCTGCGGCTTAAGAGGACCACCTGGAAGGTTGCTAATGTTTGTCTGCCATTCGGCTGTGCGCTCAGCCCTGCAGAAGTCAGTGTAATGTCCGCTTGCGTTGTCTACGGTCAAGAGCTTACCTGATGTATGCGGCATCGTGTTGGGAACCAAGAGTGACCTTTGTCTTTGTATTTCCCGAGTCTGCATCCGCTAGCACGGAGTACTTGTCAGGAAAGGCGAGGCTATCACGGCCGCCGACACGCAACTTGAGCCTCTTCTTCACCTTTGGAGGCGACTCTAGCGAGTCAAGATAGAGGGCTAATTCCTCGTCAGATTCTTCGGCTGCACGCTTCCTAGCATTCTTGCCCTCATCTTGTCCCCTCTCATCGTCATCTGGAAGAGGACGTTGTGCGATGAGATTGACCGACAGATCGAGGAGAAAATCTTTCGGCAAGTTCTCCGTCGTCCAGTGTTCAATGCGCTCTTTACTTGCACGTTGGGAGAAGATCTGAACCATCAAACGACGCGCGGGACTCGACTCGGGTGTACCGTCGTAGATGGTATGGACTGCAGATGGCTCCGGGAGGGAGTGGCCGAATTGAGGGCTTTCGCATCGTTTCTTAATGGCCGCCAGGACAACCTTTTTAGTGGAGTCGTCCATGAGCATCTCGGCGAGGACGTAGAGCTCGCTCATGGGCTGGAAAGACCACGGCTGACCTTGGAAAGATAGCTTGGTGCCGTTCTATGTACTCTTCGTTAGCGACACTATGAATGCGCTGGTTGCATGAGGATACGTACATAGAGTGTGTCTAGATACCAAGCGAATATCCTAGGGTCCTCTTCTTTCAAAGTGACTTTGAGATTCTGTGCTGATTTCCATCCCCCCCTCAAGGCGTTGCGGAAGAACTTGCTGCAATGACAGATGCGGCGCGGGTCCATGAAGAACTTCCTTTTATTTGGTTCTTTGCCGACGACGACGCAGATAGTATCCTCATCTAGACTCTGTGAGAGAACATCGTCATCTGAAATCGGTGAGAGAACATCGTCATCTAAAATCGGTGAGGGAATATCGTCATCCGCATTTGGTGACTTTCGGAGAAGAGCATCGTCGCGCTCAGGGTCGACATCGCATTTGTCGGACGCAGAGTCGTAACTTCTTCTTTCGTTAGCATACCTGGCGCGCAGACGCATTGTAGGGTTGAGTTAGAAAAGTTTGCCTTGTAGGTTGGGTCCTAAGATGAGCGGTTTGAGGTGCAGCGTTTGGGGAGGGTGGAAATGAGAGAGAAGAAAATGGCAATCTGTACGGACGTTCCCCCTCACACGGTCGCTACACTAGACCCCATAGTACGCAAGTAGTGAATATGAAGGTTTTGGCGCCTTGCGGTTTTCACTGAGGCGCCATACAACACCGGGCTCTCAAGTTGAAGATGACCAGCATTCGTGACCAGATCTAGCTGCTTCGACATCAGTAGTCACACATGAGTCTCATGCAGAAAGGTGTGCGCGTTGTAAGCTAGTTGCTCTTGAAACCTGTATGATGACATTTTACACTTGCTATGCCGCCGCGTGAACACCTACCACGCCTATCTATGCTGCGATCAGCGCACCCCCTTTCGAATATCACGCCCCTACGCCAAACCGTTGACATTCTAAACTCCCCTTCCTGCTTCGAAGACACATTCCACCTAGGTAGTGGCAGGTGCTGGTGCGGTGGCAGGGTCGGTGCCGACAGGCGCAGCTGGTGCAGTACCAGCAACACCCTCAGTAGGTGCAGGAAGAGCCGTGTTGTCAATCGCATCGTCGCTCTTCTTGGCCCACTTGGGCTCCTTTGCCCACTGCGCATCCCACCAGGGACCCGCATCGCTCAATTGGCAGCCCTTCTCGCACTCGCATGATCCACCGAATGCCTTGGGCAGGTTCTCGGCTGGGACCTGTGCCAGCAACTCCTTCTGGTATCCGCTGCCGAGAACGTGGATCTTGGCGCTTGTGACGGGGTCGAGGAACTTCTTGACCACGCTGAAGACACCTGAGAAACCCCAGGGGGCGTTGATGATGTACATCTTGCCCAGACGCTCGGGGTAGTAGTTTTGACTGATCTGCGAGACGGCGCCGAGGTAGCCGTAGACGGAGGTAGCCTTGCCAATACCAACACCCTTCAGGTCCATGATTGTGCAAGATGTCTCGAGGAGGTAGCCCGACTTGCGGGAGCAGGCAGGAAGACGGGGGTCGGCCATCTTTTCGTATTCGCAGACAAGGTTCTGGATCATGCGCTCCTGGGACGTGATCTTTCCGAGTGCGGTGAGGTCGACGTTGCCGAGCTGCTCGATGTAGAGTGGGCGGCCATCCTAATGTTGCGTCAGAGGTTTTGTTGGTCAGATCTGGGCTGTGCTCTTAGCCCAAGTAGAAGCCACGTACCTTGTCCGTCTTGTGGTAGTACTGGGGGTAGAACTTGAAGACCTCGGGTCGCTCCTTGTAGTCAAAGGTGCGGACGAGCTCCTCAACGCCAACGCCAGCATACTCGGCCCTCCACTTCTCGCAGTCAACGAACCTGGTGACGGTCAGCATGCATTCCAGACATTCTTCTGCAATGCCCTCATGCTGCATGTACGTACATCTGTTTCGCAAGCTCGACATTGAACTTTCGCGCGCGGAGGAACCGCAGCTGTAGATTGTTTAGCTAGAGGACTTTGCACTCGCCGAAGAAGCGGTGAGCATACCAGAGTCAGGGTGTCGAGGTTCTTGGTGTGGCCGGACTGCTCCAGCTGGGTCCTCAGCTGGAAGACCTGGGCATCTTGCTCTGGAGTTGTGTGGCCTGGGTGTCCTGGTTGGGCGGTGGGAGCGACAGTGGGAAAGTCGTAGTGGTCGTACTTGGGGTCGAGCTTCAGCTCGCTCGTCGCAGCAGCAGCCATTGTGTTTAGAGTGTACGAGAAGAGAGGTGGCTCGAAGTGTGCAGGGAGGAGGGAGGTAATTGCGTGTTGCGCGGCCTGGACGAAGTTGTCGAGGAGCGCACGTCGATGTCAACTAAGTGGGTCCCTGCCGCGGCGGTCAAGCGAGACCCCTTCCCCTCATCCTCCTCGACGGCTCATTCCAACGAATTGTGGCCGTCGACACTGCCCCATGACGCATCTGTGGTCCGAAAGCCATGTTCACGCACCGTTCCTCACGCAACCACGTTACACCACACGTGCATCGACGACATGTTGAACGGTAAAACCGTAGTCAGACCTGCTCGAGTGCAGGCGACGAGGCCTTTTTGAAGGAGCTACCTAGTTGATACATTGCAGAAAAGATGAACGCAAGACGAACCCAGAAAATAGATCAAACATCCCATGCCGACAAACACCAGCCACAGACAGCCAAACGCTTCGCACGTTGAAAAAGAGAGTAGTGGTCCTTCCATCGTCAGGCTACCAAGGAAAACATGTTCCAGACACTAACAACAAACATGATGCGAGATTCGTGCACTAACCGCTGGCATTGCTCATACCTCCCAAATGATCAGACCGCGCACCCGTCTATCGAGCGATTCACCCCGTTACCAAACCTAAATCTCCATCGTGAAGCCCGCAAAGGACGCGAGCGAACCGTAGCAACCGAACACCGAGCAAATGACGCCTGAAAACGACGGAGATTGCTGCACCACAAAGCGTATTGACATGCCCGGAGGCCAAACCACGTCAAGCCGATCAATTCCTTCGATCCCGGCTCGGCCCAAAGTCGACTTCGGACACCTTCTTTGCCTCTTTGCGATTCTTGACAATGTATTGCGCGTACAGGGCCACGTGGTCACTGGGGAAGTGGTAGTTGGGGAAACCGGGTACCCGCTGGAGATAGTTTTTGTCGATCTCGCCAAGCAGACCTACCACCTGCAGTGTGTTTGTCGAATACCAGATGTAGTCCAGGACTCCTTGGAAGTGAGGTACGTAGTTCGTGAACGCCAACTCGCCGATAGATGCGTAGCTGGACTTGAGGCTGAATGGATGAGATATACCGTCTCGCGTGAAATTACCATACTTGCGGCTTCCCAGATCCACGTGAGCATTCGATACATTACCATGTGTGATGAGATCGTAGACACCAGAGGATGGCAGCGAGTTGAAGTCACCGCATAGCAACACGGGAATATCGGAAGGATCAGAGTATTCCTTGGAAGGTCCGGGCTCTTGTGTTGGGTCGGGTTCGGCTCCTTCTTCGCTATCGCCGTTGGTGAATTGGTACACCACCTTGTTCTTGCAGGCCGGGTGCTTAGTCCATTGAGTTGCAAGCTTGGTGATACCCTCCATCAAGATGGCGACTTGCACAAGCTTGACATCCTGGAACGCAGGGTTCCAGAAGACGTGTACGTTTCCGACAATGAATCTGGAACCTGTAGCACGGTTTTCGAGGAAAGCAACAACGCCAATATCGTCTCTGGGCATGACTCGATTGAAGATATCGTGTTCGCCCTTCATATCCGGACGGTTGATGGCTGTATTGGCAAAGTCGATGAGCTGCTTGTCCAGCAAAATGTACCTGGGCTAATTAGTCGGGTTCCGCAAGACGAGATGGACCACAACTTACTTGCTGTTCTTGTAAAAGATCGCACACCCATCGACCAGCTTTGCTTCCCTTTCTGCCATGGTACGCGCTCTTGACTTCGGCCAGAATACTCCCTTGTAGTCGTTGTGCGCTAGCTCTGCTCGGAAGAACTCGTTGAAACTATCTTGATCGATTTCTTGCAGACACACTATGTCTGCGTCGCGCTCCCGTAGTTCAGCAAGAATGAGCTCCCTGCGACTCTCCCAGGCCAATGCTGAGCTCGGTGTGTATCCGTACTGTGATTGCGTACAGTATTTGTCGCACAAGATGTTGTAGCTGAGCGCGCTCACAGTCTCTTGTGCTGTGTCTTGAACCTCATCGAGGACAATCCAGTCCCGCTCTGGTGGCGCCTCTGGACCCGGTGCATTCTCGCGGAAGTGCTTGATAAGTTCCGTGGTGCCTTGTTCCATTATGATTTGTTTCAGATCGTCCGGAATAGGGTTGCCCTCGATACCTAGCATTTCCAGTTGATACAAAGATCCTAGTTCGTATGGTAAGTTCTCGATGTGGTTGTCAAACAAGAGCAGCTGCTTCAGGTTTACTAGCATGCCAATCTCCGGGGGCAGATATTGCAGATTGTTCAGGGAGAGATCGAGATGAGTGAGGTTCCGCAGCTGTCCAATCTTCTGGTGCACGTAGGTGAGCTTGTTGGAGTTGAGGTAGAGTTTGGTCAGGAAGGTGTAGGCAAACAAGGCTGGCGTGATGACTTTGAGATTCTGGCCGCCGAAATCGAGAATTGTCCAGATGTGTTGGTCCTTGGCATCTTCCACCCGCTGAGCAGCAGGCCTATTGCGCTCTTCTTTGTCCGTCTCTTTTTGCATCCCGTTTGATGTTCCCGCTACGATGCTCTTACTAACGCTCGGGTGAATTCGGGCGTGTGAGTGGGCCTGCGTCATTTCACGCGCGGTCTGGTGCAGCTTCAATTGCTCTTGCCAGTGTTCGGTTGGTGGTTTGCTGAGTCCACTATGAACGCTGTTTGGTGTGCCGTTCTGGAGATGGCCCGGCGTGAAGTGGGGCTGCACGTTGGACATGCCCCCACTCGAGATGTTGTGCTGGTGGTTGAATTGGCCGACATGATTGTTTCCGGAGATGTCCTGGTGCTGCTGGTGATGTTGATGCTGGTTCTGGTGGTGCTGGTTGTGTTGGAAGGGCTTCCCCAGGTTCATGTGCTGCATGAAGTTCTGCTGCCCTGCGCGCCCGTTCATCATAACGTTGTGGCCCTGATGCCCATGGGCCTGGTTGAACATGCCGAACTGCTGGGGAGACGACTGGCGCCCAGGAGATCGTGACGGCGAGGGGGTGTCGGGGTTGGGGAAGGGTATGCGGGCGGTAGACGAGGGTGAGCGCACTCGGCTGGGGAGGTTGCGTATGTTTTGTGTGTGTTGCGGATAGAAGGTATTGCCGGTTCCCCTGGGGTAGACCGAGTACTCGGCCATCTAAGGGAATCGCGGCGGAAGATATCTGGGGTCGCGCAGGCGGCCTTTGTGTTGGGGGTGAAAGCCGCGGGATGCTCTGGCGAGTCGGGGCGTCAGGTAGGACGAAGGGTTCGGGCACGCGATCTTCTTCGTTTTAACATGGGCGCCCGTGCGACTCCTCGACATGAGCACGCGTTCAGCAAACGCGGCACCAGTATACCATGTATTGATATCCCGGCGGTTCGCGAGTGACGGTGGTGTTGGAGCGGGGACTCGGTAGCGAGCGAGGGCGGAGGGGTTGCGGGCGTCGAGGCGTGCTGGAGATAAAGGGCTGGGGCGCGGGCTCGTATTGATATCCTGGCGGTCTATGGTATGGAGCAGTTAGTTGGTGCGGCGGGGAATCGAAGAGGTTGGACGGGGAGCTCGAGCGGGCAGCAGAAGCGTGTGGAAGCGGCGCACGTACGGCAGCTGAGGATGTCAAAGGGCGCGCAGGAGGGCAATCGGGCTCAATCGTGCCAGACAGACTGTGAGCGGGTCCAACTGCAGCGCTGTGAAGAATAGAGAGCGTAGTGATGCGATACGTGAAGCCCAGTCGAACCTTGCCCGATGCATTGGGGTCCGCCGCTTAGCGGGCCACGTGACATGGAAGCGTCGATCCAAGCTGGACGCCATGAAACTGTCCATCTGTTCTTTCGCGACGGGGCCTGTGCCCGCGTTGGCTGGGTGTTCGCCGGAGTAGTCCTTGCATTCTTCCTTTTGACGTGCATGGCAACTATCGAGCGAGTGTATAGTACCAGCCATGTCTACCTAGGTACACACCGTCTCCGTAGGCGTTCGACGTGCATCTATCCCTCCTCTACATGTGCCCTTGTTCACGTATGTTTCATCCATGAAAAGGTTACAGATTACGCAGTACCCTCACCCTTGATCCTCGTTTCCGCCGTGCACTGCATGCCCTCGTGAGCTTGTCGCTGCTAGACTCGGGCTTTCCCCACGCTGGAATATCACCTGCAGCACGTCTTCGGCTCATGCCGCGCTCCTGCAGACGGGCGCCACATCGCCAGAAGCTGCTCGTTCGCGGCGCTCGCACTGCCCAGCGATGTATCGCCATAGAGAGCCTGGGGATTCACACAGCCGCAGCCGTTGATTGGAGATGTGTCCTCGGCTGGCCTCGCAGCTCCTCACCTGAGCTGCCTCCCACAACCGGAGCTGTGCCGAAACTTGCATTCACATACATGGCATGCTGGCACCATCCTCTGATCTGATCTCTCTCCAGTCGAGCTCTGCTTCCTTGTCGCATCCGCTCCGCCGTCCCGCTCATTAATTGCTGACTCGCCTACACGTGCTTATCAGACGACTAAAGACCGGCCCAATATCGCGTTCCCGCTAAAACAGTGGGGCTAGGGTAGGAGTAGACTGGACAACCTCGAGCACGTTTCCAGGTCGTCTCCATGGGCGATTGGCAGTTGGCAAGAACACTGTGCTTGCTCTACGCGTGAACCTCTCTGGCTAATCCCCTCCACAGTACCGCTACTACGGCGCCAACGCCACCGCCAGCCCGCCCATACGCCCCAAGACCGTCGAAGCAAAGCAATGGGATCTGACCACCACGGACGCTCTCGGTAGAACCATCTCTGCGTCTTCGACTTCTGCCTCAACAGGCGCGCGCACCCTCTCAGGCCACAACATGGACATAACGCGCGGCTCCATGTCCAGCAGCTCCACCCAGAGCACCAGAGACGACACGGGCGTCCCCTCTACCGAACCCTTCATTCTGCGCCATGGACGTCGATACATTCGAAGTGCCCAGAGCTACCCCCTCCCATGCGACCTGCCCGAACTCCACCGCCAGAACCTGCATACCCTCCTTGCGACAGCCGTCTTCGGCAAAGCCATGGGCTCCACCCCCTCATACCCCCCGAAGAAAGTGCTCGAGGTTGCGTGTGGCTCCGGATACTGGTCGGCTGTGTGCCATGAATGGCTGAGTGGTAGGTATACCCCGCACTTTCTGTACGGTTCAGGGCTGACCGCAACCAGAACAGGGCTACGATGATGTTTCCTTTACCGGTCTAGACATTGTCAATCTCGCCGGAGATTTGCAGCGCCAAGGCATCGACTGGAAGTTTGTGCAGCATGATCTGCGCAAGTTGCCGCTGCCGTTCGATGATGAGGAATTCGATATCGTAGTGATGAAGGACCTGAGTATGGTGATACCTGATGGGCCGCCCTCGCAGAGGACACTCGATGAATGCACTCGGATCCTAAAGTCCGGGGGCACGTTGGAAATATGGGACACAGACCACATTATCCGATCGATCCTGCCGCATCCTCCACCACCGCCAGGCAAGAATCCTCAAGAGTACGCTTGCGCTGTATCAACCGGGACGTTCCTCATTTCGCACACCACGCCCTTTACCGATGTGCAGAACAAATATCTCCAAGACTCCAACTCGTGGATCCAAGAAGCGCTTGACCGACGCAAGCTCTCGGCAACCCCTTGCTCTCGTATATCGCAAATCCTGCTTCAAGAGCCGGACACTCTATGCGAGGTTGAAAACCGACGTGTAGCGATTCTTCTCGGTGAACCACGGTGGGAGCGTGAAGCTGCGGGCGAGACGATAAAGCGGCGTGGAAGCGAGGCGGGGAAACTCAAGAAGGGAAGCGCAACCCTGGAGAGCTCCATTCTGACCAAGGAGCAGGCGGCGCTAAGACATACGGCATTGCTTGTCGTCATCCAGCTGATCGAGAGTCTTGAGCCCCTGCTCAAAGAAGTCAGCGGAAAGAACCAAGAGGAATGGCAGCGCTATTGGAACTCGATGATCAACGACCTGCTTGAGCAGAAAGGTGCCTCGAGCGGCGAATGTCTTGAGCTCGGCATATGGTGGTGCAAGAAGGCGTAAAGTTCAAGTGGCGTACCTTGTTATTTGTGATATCCCGGTCTACGCAAGGCCATGGTCGGCGAAATGTCAGTTATCGTATTATACCAGCTAGGCGAGTTTGTCGTAGCGCTGGCGCAAGGTGCGATAGCGCTTTAGATAGTATCTGGATCTAGTTAGGAATGTTTTCAATTGTGCTTTTTCAGCTGGTGCAAACGGACAGTGCTTCAATCTCTATACGATGACGGTTAGCATTATACGCGTGATGCGTGGCATGGGGTTACTCGCCTTTCTTCACGTACTCCGCCCTCTCGATGCCCTGCTTGATCTTTGCCTCGTCCGTCAGGTTCTTTTGGCTCGCAAACGCCTTGTGCAGACGTGTCCTGAAGTAGTCGTAACCCTGGGGATATTCCCGGCCCATGAAAAGCAAATCTATTCATTTCGTTAGCCCCTGGACTTTGCTATGAGCCGAGGGAAAAGACAATGCTACGCACCCTTGTAGATCCGGATGACCTGGTGGCGAAGCGCGGGATTCGGGGGTGTCATTTTCAATAAGGAAGCAAAAGATGTATAGGTACTCAGGAGTCGATGCTAGAAAGCTGTCAGATGTCAATCGCGTGTGTACGAGCAGGGTGCGGAGTAGTTGTAGCAAGCGCTCGGGCCCGCGTCCTGACGTAGGGCTGGCGGACTTGTGGATGGAAATGGATGTGGAGGTAGCGGATCCTCGGCTTGTCTTCCGTATCCTCGGAAGGAACGCCCTAGCTCTTGCTGCAATCGTTCGTGAACACCACCGCACTGTGTTCTCATTGGACTCTGTAATCCACGATAATGAATACTATGCGAACCTTGGGGCGCTCCGCGCTTTTTCGTTCAAGACCTGCATGGCCAACTCTTCCGGTTGTGCAGAGAGTTTCTCGCGCGCGGTATCAGTCTACTTCAAGCGGTACGTAAATTGAGGGTCGATTCTTAAATGCTGTTAGTGTGCGCAGCACGGATCTATGTGATCGAATGATGGGCATGTTGTAACTTGTAAAGTGTCCCAAGCCAGTCACTACACAGTTGTTCAAACATCTATCGTTACACTTTCGAAGAGGAAGAGCTGGAGCATCACGGAATACCAATAGCTGACTCACATCTGGCATAGAAGCACCTGCAACTGCAGCCCTCAGCCCAAGATGGCTCTCGGACGTTCGAACACGCATCGGCAAGTGTATTAGTTTTGGAATGAGCCCCGCACAGATTGAGGAAGCTGGTTTGATATTGCAGGAGACTGCAGTAGACTGTGAGTTATGACAAGAGTGGTTCATGTCGTGATGCGGGATCAACTTCTTATGTGTCTTACAGGGCGAGAACTTGTAGCTGGCAGCGAAGGGTTTCTTACAGGCAGGCAGTGGCGAGGTCTCTACCGGCAGGAGGTAGTATGGGGTGAAATGGTTAGCATTCTTGTCAACGAACTGGTATGCAATCGCTGATGTGAGCTCGATCGTGTGTAGGACAGCATGGTAAGATCACCCCAATACATGTATGTCGATAACTGCTGACGGATGTGAAGGGTATCTGCTTCCTTCTCGAGCCTTGGAGATACAAATCTAATGTTTAGCAGGTCATGTCAACAATGTCATGTACAATCGGTATGCTGAATCGGCGAGAGTCAACTGGACGTTGAACTTTGCGGCGAGCGACCCACAACACAAAGCCGAGTGGATGGAGCTCATGACGCCGAAAAGCGTTGGTTTGATCCTGAGGAGTATCAAGACAGACTACAAGTTTGTAAGTTTGCGCGCGACCGTTCCAGCTGAAGACTGACTCAACTCTCGAAACTTACTAACGGAGAACTAGCCCATGAAATGGCCTGATAGGTGCGACCACGAGCACAAACTACAAGATGCAGTGCTCAATGTTTTAACACATACATCACCAGGGTAACCGTACTGCACAAGCTTCGAGACAAACCGACACAAGACACCGATCACTTCATCTTGGACGTCCTAATCCTCTCAGAGGCCCAGCGTCGACCAGCAGCGCGATGCACCGAAGACATTGTCGTGTACGACTATCGAACAGCGAAGAAGTCTCCATTGCCACCTTTTATGATCCAGAAGTTTCAAGAGACATTCAACCTACAAGAGGAAGCGAAAGAGAAGAACAGCAACAGGGTCAAAGGGCTATTGGATCGAGTTAGGGAACTAGAGAAGAGTAGCTGGGATAGACCGGATGCTAAGGAAGACTTTGGCAGCGCGGCTCAGTAGAACATGGTGATACTTGCGAGAAAACGCCTCATTAGACCCTTGATATCTGCGGTTCGCATTCGCAAACGGTGCCTTGATTTCTAGTTCCTCCTGCCCCGTGGAAGCTTCGCTAGTGCGACGTCTTTGAACAAGACTAATAAATAGTCACGTCTGTAGCGGCGGTAGAGTAGGATTTGCTAGCGGTGTTACATAGGTATCGTCATATCCGTCATCATATACCCCTGCAGCAATATCGACAGACAACACGCGGGGTTGATCGCGTGTCCGAGGTCGGCACATGGCAGTCAAACCAGATGTATAGATGCAAGCGATGGGAAAATGGCAAACTGCCGCATGAACCCACTGCATGGCGTGATTCTCATCACAATGATGTACATGAAGTGGGATGTTCTGATGCCTATTGCAGCGATCTGCACGCCCGTTGCGCGCGTGATGTTCCGGCTTGCCTTATTTGCAAGTCGAGCGGGCTGCTATTGGCGTAGTTGGGTTAAGCTTCACGCCGGCACACTGCAGAGGGCGGAAGAGGGTCATGGATGTGCAGGCGGAAGGCTTGCGCGCTATGCTCGCCTCGAGGGAACACAGATAGATAAAAATGCTCCGAACAATTTGGGATGCTGACAGTGCACCGCTTGACCCGGTATCGCAGTGTTCAGTAAGGTGTGGCGTAACACGTCGCATGAGCATTGCTGTGCAGCCGCTGTAAAGATTCATGCATTGAAGGGCAGGCACGCTCTATCCGCGTACCTAGGAAGCAGACAATGGGTGACGGCGGCGTGAGTAATAGCGTCGGCGGGGTTTGCCCGCTGCAGAGACTTCAGGCATGCGGTGAAAGACAAAGCGCGGGCATCATTCGCTCTTGGAGCTTGCTATGGCTCAGGGGGGTCCTGGTGCACGCAAATGAGCAGGTAAGCTAAAGAAGCCGGCGCAGGCTAATTGGCTGCCTTGGGAGACGTGTTTGTCTGGCGATGCAGCTGTGCGATATGGCAGAGGCAACAGACGGAGGGACTATGTAGAGGAGGGCGAGATGAGGTACCAGACAGGCACGATCACTGCCGGAGAGGGACAGGCGATACTTGGCTTCCCCGGTAGAGTGAAATGAGGGCCTTGTTGTCGTGGTCAAGATCGGCATCATGAACTGGAATCGGACACAGCTCGGCTGATCTGCGTGGCAGCAGCATCAAGATATGCTGCCCGCGTGGTTGTGATGATGGCGGTACAAGCCGGACACATGGAATTTTGCCGCGGATAGGCAGCGTGTCGAGGGCGTCGTGGTTGCATGTGCAGGGCGGTCGTGGTGAACCACGGGTCGGCAGCGCAGCAGACGTGGAACCTCGGAGTCGACAGGCAAATCAGCCGTCAGGTGCATCGTGGCTTGTCAGTGCTCTGATCACGGCGTGGCCCACTCGCGCAGAGGCTTGGGTCGGTCGGGTTTTCTTGGTTGACTTTGCATTTGACGTTTAGCACTTGCAAGTCTTGGCACGAGCCCATCCGGCGGAAGGCACGACTGAGCAGGCGCAGGGCACCTTCCTCGCTCCCCTACACGTCTTGCCCAGCACACGACACACCCCCAGACACCCCCACCGAGCAGCGGCTCAACATCTTCCAGTCCTGGCTCGTCCTGTGCAGCAGTCGAGTCGCGCCAGGGAGAGGTTTGCCCGCTCGCACCCGCACCGCCGTCTATGGTAGCGAAGTCGAAGAGGAACGCGGCGCACGACAAGCGACACGAGAATGGCCTTGCGGCCCCCGGCAAGAAAATCACAAAGCAGAAGAGCATCCCGCAGCTCAATGGCCACGCCAACGGGAAGCCCAGCGAGCCCTCGCCGCCGCTGCCCAGCCATGTAGACACGACCGAGATGACGCAGCACGCCAGCGCCCACGATCCAGCTCCGGGGTCGAGCGCCCACGCCAACACCATGGCCGCTGCTGCGTCGGCCGCATCAGGGCACCGCACGCGCGCTGGCTCGGATGCCTCGCTCGACAACACCCCCGAGGCCTGCCGCTCGTACGACAATGGCAGCGCCGGCGGGCCCTTTGATCCCATGCCCTCGACTCTCCGCCGCGCCGACACCAATGCCTCCAAGTCGGCGTCCATCTCCATGGCCAGCATGCTCGCGGTGCCCGCCACCATTCTCACGTCCTGTCCTCTGCGGGACGTCCTCGCCATCCTCATCATCCTCCTCCAACTGCCCCCCACCGTCCTCACCGTCGTCCAGTTCCTGTTCGCAACGCTTACTTTTGTCCCGCCCCAGGCCGGCACGCCCCTCTCCGCCCTCTCCGCCTTCCCCTCCTTCACCGACATCTTCCAGGGCTCCGGCGGCACGCCCTCGCTCTTCACCACCATCATCGCCGACACCGTCATCCTGCTCATATGGCTGCTGCTGTGGGTGCCTGCCCAGAACTTCTTCCTCGACCTCGCCCAAGCCGTCATAGCCATAGCGCTCGGCGGTGCCGCAGCCGGTAAGAAAGGCACGACCAACAGCATCGTCATATGCTTCGTCATCATTCTTTCGAGCCACGTCTTCAGATTCAGGCCTCTCCGGCAACACATCGTCCACTTCCTGTGGACGGGGCTCGCCCGGGGAGGCCTTGAATTTTTGACGAGCCCCCCGAGTACGCCGACCTATTTAGAAAGCTTCTCGACCCCCCATGGATGGCCCCGTAGCCTCCTGGGTATTCATATTTTGGCCCAAGGTGTCGTTCGTATCATCCGACGCTCTCTCTCTCGACGAGAACATGCAACCTTGCCCACCGGCAAGAAGACAGATCCAGAGTCTGGCACGCTGCAACGCTCCAATTCCACGAACCTCGATCCCACTGCCGACGTGCCTAACTCCTCGAGCACCGATGGCCGCCCCCCGGGGCCGTCGCCCGCAGCACACGCAATCAAGGATAAAGCGAGTAGTGGGAGGAGGAAGCGGAAGCAAGCTACTCATGTTCGTAGTCAGCAGCCATTCTGGGCTGCACTTGCCAGTACAAAAGTTACAGTTTTAAAAGAGATGGAGAGCAGCCGGGCGGCCAACGATGCCGACGAGGCTAACGCAAAAGACGCAAATCACATTGGGAACGCTGTTTGGAGATCGGAGGACGATCGTGTTTGGATTTCAGAAGTCGGCTTTTCCGACATTTCATTTCGTGTTAGTTTATCTGGTGGAGCTGGCCTTCAAGAGCAGGACGATGAAGATTCCAGCGTCGGGTCTGGGATAGACAAGTCGAAGCCCTTCTACATCCGCGTCAACGGCGCGGACTGGAGCTCGACCCGCATCCGACAGAGCGAGCCCATCGGTTTCCAGGGACAAGAGGGAACGGGCTACTGGGTAGGAGAAATATTTGGTCTGACAGCTCTCTCGAACTATTATTGCGAGTTCGTTCGGACCAACGACAACCAAGTCTTCTACTCAGCGAGTCTTATTACCTCGGCCAGCCCGGTAACCGAACTTGGTAAGCAGAACATCTTATGTAGCCTTACTTTGCTAATGCGTGACAGCTTCAGCTTCTATTGCCTCCCCGCCAGCCCATCAAACCCTACGACCTTCTTCGCCAACAACCACATTGAAGAACTCTATTGCTGCAGCCGACCAACAACTACAGGAACAGCGCAATCGGTTGAAGCGAAATAAGAAAGACCACAAGACAGCCATTACCAACATCAAGAAAGAGGTGGATACGCTCGGTAACCGCCTAGCCAACGCCGGAGGTAGTGACGAGCGCCAACGCCAGCGTGTCCTTCAGTTCACGCAGAATATCCGCCAAGCCGACGATGCTGCTGCCGAGTTTGCCCTTCAAGCAGAAAATCTGGGAAGCATTCCCGAAGATGAGGCAAAAGAGGCAGCTGCTAAGAAGGCAGAGTGGAAGAAGGAGCGTGACAACAAGAATGCTGTTGCCTGTGAATTCGACAAGACCAAGGAGGAGATTGAGCGACAAGTGCAAAGTGTGGAGTCCGATATTTCTACTGCCTTCCAGAAGAGGGAGCGCCTTCAGCAGCGTCAAACCAGGCTCAACGAGCAGCACGACCGCCTCGTTACCGCCAATGCTGAAGGTTTCACCGCCAAGCAACGAAGGGAGCAAGAACGCGCAGCATTACGAGCACAGCGCGCTGAAGTCGAGCATCAGTACCGGAGCAACATCAATGGCTACGAAAGACGCACCGAAGAGCAGAACATGTCAACCAGCCAAATTTTGCAGACTGTTCAGCAGTACGAAGAGCTCCTCCTCCAGCAAGCGCACCAGCACATGTCTGTTCCTACCACACCAGAAGGCAATCTCCCAGGCACGAACATGTCTCCTCACGGCAATGGTTTCTCCAGCTTCACGTTCCCGTCAATGCACTCACACATGAACGGCACTCCTGGTTCCATGCGTGGAGGTCGCGGTCGTTCCTCGTCGATGCTCTCTAACGTATCCGGATTCACCGACGCTTTCGACGAGCCCGCGTCTTCAGGCACCTATGTCCTCGGTAACCCCTTCAGCACTCCAGGTCCGATCAATGGCCGCAATCGCAGTCACGGTAGTGGCAGCCTCAGCTCAGGAACCTCCAGTCAGAGTTCGAGCCAACGAGATCCATTGAGCCCTGTCCAGAGTATCAAGCCGATGATGGTGCGAAGTCCTACTAGTGGTAGTGGTAACAGTCTGATGAGTCCGATTGGCACTGGCAGATGAAATCGTACACGATTTGATCTTTACGTATCTTTAGGTAGTGTTCCAATGTGATATTCGCGTCCTTTTCGTGTTCTCAATACAGTTCCCGCTTGGCTCCAATTCAAGTGACATCCGTGTGAACGAAGATCTCTTGGATGTGACACTCACGGGTTGTAAGGAAATATAGCTACCTTTGATACCTACAAAGAGACACAGGTGTTTGTACTAAGACGTGAGAAAGGCATATGATGACTGCATGGCAGGAGTCAGGTTTTATTCGCTTGGTAGAAAGTACACGAAGACCGTCACGCTGCCGTGCCCTAGTATGCAAAATGCCTCAAGATATGGTGTGATTCCTAAACCTCCCCATATCAACCCTCAAGCGCGTTGGCGCGTTGAATGTCTACGCCTCCTCGATGATGGATGACAGCCCTGGACTCCAGCCGGTCTGCTCCAGGTCTTCGCTGTCATCGTCCATTCTGTCGCCGCCACCTTCAGCGCCACGCATGCTGTCCTTATTGTCCCCTCCATCACCCCCATGCTCATGCTCGACTTCCTCCTCACCCTCCTGCCCTCCCTCGCCTACACCCGCAATATTGGGAATGCTCTCATGTTTCGTCTTCCAATTACCCGTCTGCATGCAGACACCTATTCCCCATCATGCCGTCAGTCGACCTTACTTTCATTTTCCTTGCTCCAGCCATGAGAATCTGAAATCAAGACGCGAAGAGAAGGTAGCAGAAAAGAACGAAGAGACTTAAACTTACCGATAACTCCACCCATCCCCTTCCTCAAGTCCTCCAACAGACAGTTCACCCCAGTGATGATGTTGGGCTGATCTTCCACATGGCTGATCAGTGTCCATGATGTGAATGGTGAACTTGAAGAGCCAGTGTAGAGAATCAATGCCACTCCATATGTCGACATCGCTTTCTCTTCAGCATCGTCGCTGCTGCTGGTGCTGGCAGTATTGAAGGTGCTTCTGCTATCGTTGCTACTGCCGCCATTGTTGGTGGTTATGCTGTAAGTGACTACATCATAGACTTTCAATGCGTCTTCTGATCTTGTGCCGTAAAGAGGCGTTGCGAGACTGATGATTTGTGTCTTGATTGCAGTGAATAGTTGCTGCTCGAGCAGTTGTGCGGCGTGTGTTGACATTGTCTTGTCTGTTGAAGTTTGTGTTGGATTGGTTAGAAGAGATTGAGGTTTTGTCTGTTGGTTTGGTGTTGAAATTGAAGTCGTAGTAGTGAGCGTTCTCAACGGCGAGTAATCAAAGTGGAGGTGAATGTCGGAGATAGACTTTATCGCGGTACCAACGTGTGCATCATAAGTCACCTCGAAAACAGAAGAAATCTATGACAGAGCTCTTATCTTTGCTCTCGTTTGCTCATTCATCTACAGCCAAACAAGTAAGATGCATCTACAAACCATCGTTGGACCAAGTCCCCAACCTTCCACCGTCACTCAGTCTCAAATCTCTCACTTATCCACACAGATTGCTCCGCTGCCCAGCATTCCAGCGCCGTCTAGCCTCTTTGATCTGCGCAGGACTCCAGCATCCGTACCTCTTGTGTTCTCCATCTGGTCGATATCTGATCTGATGACTCTCTTCCACCCTGCTTGCTGAACCCTCCGCAGCCATGGCCCACCAAAAGCCTCCTTCTGTCATCCTACTACCATAAAGCTTCCATAGCCCAGGCATGTGAACCACATCCTGCACGCAGTAGTCCTTTATTGCTTGTCGCAACGGTCTTTCCTCAAAGACTGCATATCTGCCACCACGCTCCGGAGCAAAAAGGTTGAGGCCAGTCTCTTTAATGGTTCTGCACACCTGCATCTGCTTCGGTGTTATGTTGAGGCGTGAGGAGTTGTAGTCGATGGCTTTGGACAACCCCAATAGGTATTCACGGGAACCGCGTGTAGTGGTTGCTAGCTCCATGAGTTGGATGTCGTGGATGCCGGCGAGGGAGATGGCGTAGTGGGAGAAGAGGGCGTCGGAGTCGTTGCGTACATCGAAGAAGACTTTGGGGATTTCTGGTGTCTCTAGAATGAGCTTCAGAGTTGTTGCAGGCTTTCCGGCGTCTGCTGTGAGGTCTACTGTGTCGGACGTAGTAGCAAGAGGCGCAGTCGCGCTTGCTGTTGCTGCAGTGGTTGGTGTAGAGAATGCGCGAGCGCCCAAGGTATAGATGTCTATCAGATACACTGTCTTTTTGGGTAGTACGTACAGTGTCAGTAGAGCGATTGTACCATTTCTACTGAGCTTTGCGCCTTCCAGATCGATGTACAAACTTGGTGGGGATACCGGTAGGTCTTCGAGCGTTGCTAGCATGGAAGAGAGCTCTTCTGGAGTAGATATGAAGATGACTGGAGGCATGGTTGTGATTTTTTGCTACCGTATATGTGGCCATTGCAATTTCGGGGGAATGCTGTACCTCTTATATCCGACAAAGAATATTTGTTTGATGCTCCTGGATGCGACGAATTGGAAAGAGAAGAGAAGAGTGATTTGGAAGATCAGATGGGTCTGGAGGGGTTCGAATGGTTCTCTTGATCTTCAAGGCCAGTATTTCTCGCATTTCCTGACCGTATCCATGGTAGACTCACTCGATAAAATGCACTGCCATATAAGTAGACTAGCCTTTTAACAATCTAGTGCAGGTTTTGTAGGCAGCGACGCGTAGCAGAAAGCAAAAGACGTAGATTTCCCACCCACCGCAAATGCACAGCCTCCAGCCATGTCTACCTGTATTTCTACCACGTCTTCAGCTCATTCACTGTCGCTCAAATGGAATTTCGATAAAGGATGAGTGGATGAGCCTCCGAATGAGCCTCCGAATTTACGAGGCCGGGCAATAGGACCGTCGCTGGGCAATTTTTCATGGCGCTTGATCAAGGCGAAAGCGAGATCACGAAAGAGATCAGCATGTCCATTATCGCGGATCTTGTCGAGTGAGTGCTCTTGACCGCTGCGCACAAAGGACTGCACAAATGCGGCGCGAGCGAGATCACCTTCCGAGGTGCCGTGGTAGATGATCTGCGCCGCTTCAACCGGAAAAAGATGGTTTGTGGTGAGAGTGTCGAAGATCTCTAGTACGCTGCCTTTCGTTGTTGCATCCATGACCTTCTCAGCGAACGCGTACAGCTCAGCCAAAGCAGTGAAGGTGGACTCAAGGTCTTCCTTGGTGAGGCTTGTATTGGCGCTGAACAGATCTGGGCGATAAAGCAATTGAACGTAAAGCGCAACGACATCGGGCTCGTCTTCGGGCATCGATACAAGGCGTTGGAATCCTTCCTTGAATCGATCGGGTTTCAGAGCGTTGGCGAAGAATTCAGAGCGGTGTATGAGCAGAGCTTCGTGGACGAAAAGGTCCTGGTGATGTTCTCCGTCAGGACCGACCGATAGTGTGACGACTGGTGTATTGATGTAGCTACTGCAGATTAGCTGGGAATTGAACTCTGGGATAGAGTGGTTGACTTACCTAGTGGCAGTACTCAATGCCGTGAGAAATTTGCTTGAGACCATGTTGGGTTTGGACGGCGCAGAATTGAGGGCGCAAGCTGGGAATTCGGAGGGTGAAAGTGAGTGTAGATAACCACATATTGCTTGGGTCCGCTGACCGATAATGGCCGTGCTTGTTTTCCTTCTACTAGCCTATTTTAGACACGAAAGACTTCAAGCGTACACTTTTAGCGAAGAGAGGCAGGGACTTTAGAACAAGAGAAGCAAATGAAGTTTTGTAGGGACAAAGGTGAAATCTATATGTAACGTCCCTGGGGATCAAACTTGTCCATGAGCTCCATGGACTTTTCGTACATGGTGAAGACGATACCACCACTGAGAATCAGCCGACCCAACCTTGGAAGTGCTCCTGACCAGAAGGTGAAGAGCCCCTCGTCTCTGAAGATCTTGGCTACACAGTCGAAGCTGTTCTTGTAAGAGCTCCGTGCTTCTATTGACTGCATACGTGTCTTGACTGTGTCGATAGGCATCGTAGTGTAGACGGTTATTATACCTGCGAGTCCTCCAAGCCCGAATGTGCTGAAGGCACCAAGCTTCTCTCCTGGGGTGACGTATGACTGCGCTAGCTGCTTGAGCGATGTGTAACTGGAGAAGCGAACGGCCGAGTTGGCTGCTTGACGTGCAGTCGTTGGGAGGAAACCTTGGAAGAAGCCGCGAATGCCTTTTTCTTGTGCGATTATTCTTGATCCGTGCAGGAAGCCTCGCATGCGTGGGTTTGCCGACTTGCGGTCGTCAATACTAGGCAGATGAGTCAGTGAAGGCACATGAATGCGACCGAGGCTGCTTACAGTTGGGTTTTGATACTCTCGAACGGAGTCACAGCTAATAGCGACTCTGTAGCTCCTGCGCCGAAACCAGCTATGACTGTCGCTGGGCCGGAGACTTTGCCTTCAGCGTCTGCCAGCATATTCCTGTACATGTCAAATGCGACAAACCCTGCATGAAGTGTCAGACAGTCGCCTTCCCATTATTTCCACGACGTACTTATGCCCGCCTTCAGAGAGTTGCCGATGATCAAGGTTGTGCATCCGGCGTACCACTGCTTGCCGAACGGCGGCCATGGCAGCTTCTTTCCGTCAGGTAATCTCCGGTTGAGTTGTGATCGTGTCTTTGCGACTATGTTGGGGTCAGGTTCGACTTGGTCATGTAAGCGGATACGATGCGGTGCGTACACTCAGCGGGGTATGTGATTGCTAGTCCAGGGTCAGTCATGAATCAGATTACGATCCGGGCGCATGCTTTACAAATCTCTACGGCACCTGCAGTTGCACCTGCCAGGATTGAGCGCATTGCGCTTGGCTTCTTCTTCTCGGTCGTTGCAGTCGCCATGACGTTTCAAGTCGAGCAGCCTCCGGTGGTGATAGGAGTAGGTTTGTACGCGCAGCAATTACGCGGGAAAGTTTTGGCGTGTCTACGTCGCGTGCGGTAATGGAATTCGGCGCAGTGACGTAGTATTGGTCTTGCACTCGAAAGCAATGTAGATTCTTTGAAAAACAACAGGAACCACAGTTGGAGGAATCTCGACGCGCCAATGTGAACTGGATTTCCCAAGGTTCACAAAATATTGATTCCATCACGACGGCCGAGGACGGAGGTGAGCAACGGGCCCGCATTTTGGCGCCAAGCATCCCGCTTGACATCAGCCCGCCTGCGCTTGGGCCATCGAAAAGTTACGCTTTCGAGAGCCATCTATCGCATCGCCATCTTGAAGTTCCATTCCAGTCACACGTTTAGTCCACCATGATGTCCCTACGCAACCTCGCCCGCAGCGCCCCGCGGTCTGCTGCCCGTTTCTCCACCAAAGCCGTCCGCCCGCAGTCGTCGCTGCGACAGACGTCAGCTTTCCAGCCAGCATGGGCTGCCCCAGTCCCCCGCCTCACAGCTTCTTTCCACATGTCAGCGGCGCGGAGGCAAGACAGCGGTAGTACGTATAGGATAAACCGCAGTGAGAGAACACGGCTAACGCGGTTTAGTCAATGAGGAGCTCGTCGCAAAGATTCAGAGCGAGATCTCCATGGAGGAGGGCATGAAGGAGGACGAGGATCTCTCTGCCAACATCAAGGAGTACCTTGAGAACAGCCCTTTCGAGGTAAGACCCTGCATAACCATTGCTACTGGCCGATTGCTTACAGCCATTAGATTGAGGACAAGGCAGGCAACCAGGAAGTCGTCCTTACCCGCACGTACAACGACGAGAAGATCCGAATCACCTTCACCACCGCCGACCTCAACAACAACCAGCCCAGCGATGAGCTTACTGAGGACAATGCCATGTACGACGATGCCGACATGGATGTGCAGTCTGGCGGCGCCAACACCAAGGGCGCCATTAACCAAGGCACCACACAAGACGGAAACATTCGCGTAGCTCCCGAGGACCGTGTTTCTCCCGCTGATCGCGAGGAACTTGAGGACGACTACGAGGATGATGGCCAACAGCAGGGCTTCCCCGCTCACGCTAGCATTCGCATCGAGCGCCCCGGCAAGGGTGCTCTCGCTATCGAGGCCACCGCTCAGGACGGCGACTTCCTGATCGAGGACCTCTACTACTTCCCTACCGCCGATCTGGCTGACCCCGCCACTGCCGAGAAGGACTGGTCAAGACGCGCTCTCTACACTGTATGTGCAAATGTTGCGTTTAGATCGTAACGAGTCTAACTTTTAGCAGGGCCCTCCTTTCAACAACCTAGACGAGGACCTCCAGATCCTCCTTGAGAAGTACCTTGAGGAGCGTGGCATCAACACCCGTCTTGCCCTGTTCATCCCCGACTACATTGACCATAAGGAGCAGAAGGAGTACATTCAGTGGCTCAACAGTAAGTCGCGCTTATGTTCCTCAGTTTCAGTGTCAGGAGCTAACAAACCACCAGACATCAAGAACTTCGTTGCCTAAGCTCGAACCGAATCGAACAGCATCGTCAACGTTTGAAACCCGGCTCAGCCAATACAAACCGACGCTTTGCCGGTGCTTTCACGAAGTACTAAAAGTCTCTCATGTATACAAATATAACGCATCTCAATAATTGAGCTACTCGGGGGCGTTAGCGGAAGTGTAAAATAGTTGGTGAGATTGTCCCTCATACATCGTTCTCTGACACGTGCAACACTATCTTGCAAGCAATCATCAGATCGCGAAAGGGACGATCGGAGTTCTAGGCAGCTCGAGGCACCAACCTCATATGGGTTGTCTCGGTCCTTAATCTACGAGAATCACGACTTAGGTATTATCGAATGCCAAACAAACGCATATAGCGCTTTTCCACTCATCGCTGTCCGAATTACCTTTTCTAGCCCCATTGCTTATCGTGTCGTTTGATCGTTCTGTTTCATTCCAAAGGTCCGTGTCGAGACAAAGACCCGGTTACGGCGCGGCGTTTGCTGGGCCAACAACAAAGCCACCGTTCGTCATCCGCGCATGCACACAAGGTGATTGTTCACTCAATGAAGTTCCGCAAAGAAGTTTGTTCGTTGTCACTGCCGTGGGTGCAGTCAAGGATACATTTCGAAACAACGTTTCGTGACTCTGAATGACGGTCTGCCTGTGATGACTGCATCCCCCTCTTCAAAGCTCGAGGATACTACTGTCCATACCAAATCTCCGCCGCATTCCTCCAACTTTAAACAGAGTGTCGATCGATACTAGCTTGCGCGTTTGACGGACCACGATCGATAACCTTGCAAGGGAGTAGGGCCTTGCACGACTGACTCACAAGCCATGACGCGCAATACCAGCCCACGCAGTGTTGGTAACGACCCCAGTCGCATTCCATTTCCAAACCTCCCACCGCCATACACATTCAGAGGCAGTCGGCCTACACAACGACCCAACTCAAATTCATATCTGACCAGAGCGAACGTTTCCAACTTCACCACTACCAGCACAATCCTCGTCGGCCCTCAACTCACACCTTTCCAGATCCAAACCAGCCTCCTGACATCAAAATCTTCCTACTTCCGGGCCGCGCTCACAGGACGCTTCGCAGAATCTAGCAACAACAGCATAACACTCGACGATGTCGCAGTCGACGACTTCCAGCTCCTCGTCACCTGGCTCTACGAGCAAGCAGTACCCATCCCCTACAAAGACCGAAAACCAGCATACTACACCCTCCTACACGTCTACGCCTTAGCCGACCGCCTCGGACTCGAAGGCGCGAGAAACGCCATCATAGACACAATAAGCGATCTTGCCGACGAAACGAATAGCGTGCTAACACCGTCCGATACGCGTATCCTATACGAAGACATCCGCGATTCGGCGCCTATCCGTACGCTCGTGCTAGATCTCTTTGCTTTCAAAAAGACAGATCGTTTACTGGAATTGCATGCGGGTCTTTGGCATGCAGAGTTCCTCCGCGATCTCTCGGTGCATCTGAAAAGACCTTGTGCGCAGGCTATGCAGCGGCATAGGTTGCGAATGTGGTGTCCCATGTCCTGGCATACGACTCGCGGGTGTGACTACTGTGGAGTTGTACTGCTGCCTAGGTGTGGAGCGGTAGCTTGTGAGGACTGCTGTGTGGCGTTTTGTACGGCTTGTGTTCAGGGAGGCGTTGCGATGGCACGGTGGGAAGTTGGAAGATTTGAGGTTGTGGAAGAGGAGGAGACGAATGGAGAAGAGAAGAGTGGGAGGAAGGTGAAGAAGTGGGAGACTTGTAAGCCTTGGAGGGGGGCGCGGTGTGCGCTTTATCATGAACATGCTGAGACGGAGAGATGTGGGGATATCTTCTTGGGGAGGTGACGGGTTTGGTGGACATAGACGGGTCTGTTGTTATTGTGGTATCATATCGCAATCTCGCACTTCATTCATCGAGCTCGCTCTTTTCCAACGCCAATTAAGATGCTTCCTAAAAGCGCTTGAACACTTTCCCTTTCTTCTGGGCCTGCTATCGTCTCAGAGGACACCACGAAAGATGGAAACCTCCTCATGACCGAAAATATCGCCAAACGCCTCAAGTCAAGACAGATGTCTACTTGCCACCTTGAGAGCTACTAAGTCTCGTGGA